CGCAGTTCACATAAATACTCCTTCATATAAAGGCTCTGCTGACTATTATTGGAAAAAACAACAATTTGATAAGTCACTTAAGCTCTACAGGGTTATGAAGCAAGACAGTGAGGCTCATGTGGTCCGATTTGAAAGATCTCCTGAACGTGATCATGTCTTGGTTCCACTATACGGTTACGTTTTTTTCCAAGAAACCTCATCTCTTCCTTCCTGGGGGATTGTCTCGGGAGTGAACAGACAGTGCAGGATTATGGCGGAAGAAAGCACTCAGGAGATTTACTTAAGCATTAGTTACCCTGACCTGAATTTCCCTGGCTCAAAAGTCTTGCAAACCTCTGGCGATATTGGAGCTCGGGAGATGTATCAAATAGAAAGCGGTGAGATACAAGTTGAAGTCACCTTGGCACGCACTGTGAGCACTACTCTTCCAAAAACGCCCGTAGTGCACGGTTCTCCAACTGGCTACGTGCCAAGGGTTCACGTGGTCGAAAGAGCAAGCGGCGAGAAACCAAGCCGAGGAAACAGGCTAGTCTTCGCTAATTTAAAGAACGGATTCAGTGTTGAGGTGATATTGACGAAAATAACTTGTGATCAATAAGCGGATTAATGTATGAAGCCACTCATGTTTACTTCGCTTTACAATTCAAGCAGTATTCAAAATATTTGATTGAAATTCTAATTAACAACAAGGACAAAGTAATTATCAATATTGCACAATCTTTCTTAGAATTGCACTACGCATATGAGTAATAAACGATGGATGAAAATGTTATTGAAAGTCTATCATTTTTTGAGTTTTTAAAGTCAACCATAACACTTGACCACCCCGCACGCTCGGCAGAGGGCGTACCAAGTCTGTCACTGGTGATGTTCACTTGCTGATTTGTATGACGGCAAACTTTGAGTTATTTACTCGAAACATTGGCATGATAGCGTAGAAAGTCTCAATGTGTTTCTTTCCTGTTGATTTTTGTTCCAATACCTGAAATTTCTACTGCCACAAGAAAAAAATCCTATCGGTTTTCATCAATCATATCTGTCTTTTCTGATGAGAACAGTCCTGTCTAACAACTGAGAATTTTAAAAGAATAATTGCCATCGGAAAGGGACCTACGTGCTTCTCTGAAAACGTAGCTTTATGCATATCTTTCAGAAACTTTGCTAATATACGGTAAAATTGAACGTTAGTTGAGTCTGCTGATAAGAAGGTATGGAGGGGGGAGGGCAAATCCCCCTGTTTTTCTTCCTTCTCTGTTTGACCGTTTTTTTCGAAATTGTGGTCATTACTCCCTAGTTAAAACCCTCAGCTGTCCTTAATTCCCTGAGTACTTTTCCGAACGCTTGCAATTTTTAACAGTTCTAGCCGTGAATGTTCTTCCCCCCTCGGTCAAGTTTAGTTTTGCTGAATCGTTTACTTCTGAAGTGGGTGACAGAGTTCGACTGAATTGAGGCAAACCTTTCCTGTTAAAAGGAAACTATCTTTATCTCATGTTATTTTAACGTCCTGTATTTATGTTTCCTTATCTTTGGTGAACATGTCTTTTAAGATATGGTCAAAAATTGTCCATTATCAGTTTCCTTACGAAGAGAAAATATTTTCCTACAATTTAATCTCATTAATATACATATGAAGTAAGGGGTACCTACTTAACATTTAGATACAAGTATTTATTTCATCTAAATCCATATTTTTTATAATTCGATTTATCGATTTTGAACACATGAGAATACCTAAAAGACCAGTAACACAGCCAAGACGTTGAAAATTACTGTTCCAAATGTTTCAAATACTTCTGGCAGTTTATTTATGCGCGTTTTAAGTCATTATCTAACATTTTGATGTGTCATAGTTGTAAAGAGACGAGTTATAAACAGACTGACTAAAACAGAGTGCAGCATCGCTGTCACAGTCACACACGGCCTTCTTACATTCCACATCAACTTTGTCTTCCCATGAGGGGTAGCTGGAAATAGGATCTGAAACAAGCGAAGGTGGAAATGAAAAAAAAGCATTTAAAATATGAGTACAAACGTACAGCTTAGTTACCTTTTGTGATTTTCAAATTTCAAAACGAAATCTGCATTTATCTTAAAAAAAGTTTTCCCTAATAGAGTCTGAAGTTTCTATGTGTTGTCCAAGTTTTTTTTTCTTTTTTTACGTTTCTTAGTTTCGAGTTGTTGTGATATCTTTAATAGATTATCGCTTATTGATTCCGACAATTACCGATGCATACAACTTTGGGGGTAAATGTTCTTAGGATTGTTTGCTCAGCTCGGAAGTTGCTCAGTAAATGATTAGTAAAAGTGAATAGAATATTCAATTCCGAGTTGAAAGAGAGATAAAGACATTTTTAATTCTAATATACGCTACCTACCACACTGCCTGCATCCTTGGTATCTATAAATCACGGAATAAACATGAAAATAAAAGTAACACTTTTCGACCATGGCGACGTCATAGCATTTGTCATGAATTTGACAGCATCTGTTAACGACAGAAATTCGAAAAGTGCCGTTAAGATAACATGCTTATTCACCTCTACGGTAACATTGGTATGAAAAGGGGATCATGTTGTCACCAAAATATAAATCTAACGCGCCCTTTGTTGACATCGTCGAAGTGATATTATTTCATTTGTACCCTTCTGTTCTTGAGCTCCAATAGCTCGAAGTTTGCAGTAGTTCCTTTAAGGTATCATGCACCAATGGGCGTTAACTATTCTATAATCCTACTGTTACAGAAAAGCATACTTGTCTACGTGGTCCACAGGCTTTCCGCTTCCTCCTGCTCCACACCAACAACCATAGTCAGCATAATCAAATCTGCTTCTGTTTGTCATACAGTTTACCATGTTACCAAACTGATACAAATTTCGAGCTGTAAATTTGAACGAAAGGAGACGTGAAGTATTTATTAGAAATCCTGGCTTGGTTTCTCTAAACGGCTTGGTTCTTATACTGACAATATTGTAATCTTCCTGCGGGTAATCTAATGGTTTTCGTGTAAGTTGTTAATTCGTTTTGATTGTGCAATGCACATATTGGGCTTTGAAGCAACAAAGGAAAACTTCCCCTTTTCTTTACCATCCACAATCAACCAACAGAACTAAAGCTTAAGTCATATAAGCAAGATAACTAATACATGATTTATAACTCTTATCCAAATTAAATTTTGCTACAGATGATGGACTCAGGGGAAGTGCTTTTAACCTACGGCACTTTGAAGAGATCTGAGAGGAACTTTAATCTCGATAAAGAGGGCGAACTTTTCCAACATGATCAGTTTCGGCGAAATTCGTTAAAAGCTGTTTTCCCACGTGTCCACACTATGACTGCTCGTGCTCCTTATTCCCTTTGATTAATTAATAGTCATGATTCAAACTTTCGTGGAGAACCATTCTGAACAAGTTTATGGCATTTTAATAACTCAACCTAATGGTATCTATATCCCACTCACGAACCAACTTAACAGTACTGATCCCTACCTTTGTTATTCAGAGGTTCACTCAAAGCCTGAAAACAAAAGATAAAAGCTTTGAGGATTTTTGCTTTGGCCTTTGGTTATTTAAATCCACTGGATCAAATTTTCAGATCATATTAGATAAATTAGCTCACTGTTAGCTCTGATAACTTAAAATACGATCCTCACCTCATTTTGAAGGAGAATACAAAGAACTAAATAAGCTAAAGCGGTAGGTAGAACGAAAAGAAATCTTTGCCAAAATTTCCTGGACATCTCTGCTCTTGGGCTTCAGAGCTTTAAAAGCCTAACATAACAAAGCCGAGTGTAGAAGACGAAGAACGTGGTTACCACAAAATTTGTTTGCCTTTCATACTATGGTGATTGACAAATGAATGCTGAATTATGAAAAGGCGTCATTGCACCTGTTTCATGATTTAAAGTAACTCTGGATTTTCATTTACACAACAATGAGTTGTTTGCATAAAACCTTTTACCACACACTACATAATACTTTTTCGTTTGCTCATCATATTTCCTGGTTAAATGTTGCCAATTGAACTTCTTCTTGGTCCCTATTACTAAATGTTTTAAAACCAGCATTTAATTATCAATTTTTAAACCGTGTAGCATCTCATCTAAGGAAACGTTGTAGAGGATATGGGAAATAAGTCTTTATCATCGGATCATGAATATCGCGGACCCGCTCTTTGAAAGAACATATGACAAAAGATGTTCTTGCTATGGACACATTCAATGTAAAGAGTGAGCAAATCCTGCGGTTCCTTTGTCATCCCAAAATGACTCTTTTATGAGAATTGAACCATTGTTTTTGTTGAAACTGTTTCTCTGGCTAAACTTACTTCATCTATATCTAGAAAAGAGAAAAAGACAACAATGATCGAAAATCTCGAATTCGGTATTTACACAGGTTTAGGACGTCACCGACACTTACGTAACAGTGTAATTCAAAGTAAATTTACTAACACTTTTTTAAAATTCCGTTCTGACTTCAAACTCGTTCATCTGTATTTTTTTTTCTTTTTTTCCAGAGACAATGCTTAATAAAAATTCGATCGTAGTTTAACCCTGCTAAGCCCACCCGTCTATCCGTAATTAACGCAAAGCACATCAAGAAGGAACACCATCTTGGATGGTATGGCTAGTACTAACAATTGAGATCGATCGCTTTGTGGCCAGACCCCAAAGAAATATGATATTTTAGAGTATGTGACCAATTTCTATCGGACTTTCAATAAAATGATGACTCTTAGAGAATTGAGACAACGATTTGACAAAAAAGGCCTTAATGTTGTTTGCTCTACATAATCAGGAGGGAAGGGTGGGTTGGGAAGTGATAGAGCTTTCGGAATGAAATTTCGGTTTTCAATATTGTTCTTCAATTCGCACAGATAGAATAGAATTTTTCTCTGATAAGGCACCTTTTTTTTATTAAGGTATCTAACCATTTTTCATTCATTATTTATGCATCAGCACTTTGAAGTGTCGTAGTCGATATTCGCCGCATTAAAAGTTGAATTCGCAAAACATTTGGTGGCTTGGCTGTCACATTCACAAAGAGCTCTCTTGCACGTGACATCCACTTCATCAGATGGATAACTAGATTCAGGGTCTGAAAAGAGATGGTGATAAAAAAAGAAATTTACAAAAGGTGCTAAAATGAAGGCATTGATTGATTCTGCAAAACTCCTTCTCTCGTCATTTCTTTTGCATTTTTTTCTTGTACAATAATAGCTACTGTACTAAAGCACCTCTTTCCCTGGGCTCTCTTCATCTCGCGATCATAATGTGCAGTACTTTAGAGCAAATGAAAAATTCGTTAAAATCTGGCTTGATATCAATCCCATTTCATTGGGACCCTTAGCCTCTGTTAAAGTTAAGTAGTAGTAGAAGTAGTAGTAGTAGCAGCAACAGCAGCAGCAGCAGCAGCAGCAATAATAATAATAGTAGTAGTAGTAGTAATAGTAGTAGCAGCAGCAGCAGCAGCAGCAATAATAATAATAGTAGTAGTAGTAGTAGTAGTAGTAGTAGTAGTAGCAGCAGCAGCAGCAGCAGCAGCAGCAGCAGCAGCAATAATAATAATAGTAGTAGTAGTAGTAATAGTAGTAGCAGCAGCAGCAGCAGCAATAATAATAATAGTAGTAGTAGTAGCAGCAGCAACAGCAGCAGCAATAATAATAATAGTAGTAGTAGTAGTCGTAGTAGTAGTAGTAGTAGTAGTAGTAGTAGTAGTAGTAGTAGTAGTAGTAGTAGTAGTAGTAGTAGTAGTAGTAGTAGTAGTAGTAGTAGTAGTAGTAGTAGTAGTAGTAGTAGTAGTAGTAGTAGTAGTAGTAGTAGTAGTAGTAGTAGTAGTAATAGTAGTAGTAGTAGTAGTAGTAGTAGTAGTAGTAGTAGTAGTAGTAGTAGTAATAGCAATACAAAAAGTGCAAAATCTTTCTTTTTCTGCTCTTCATCATGATCAATAAATGTAAGTGTTCGCACTTGTTTTTACTCTCAGGTTACAAGTAAGTTAAGCACAAATTTATGATCGATGCAATGAAAACCTTTTTGAGTTTGTCTCCTTCTAATCTTAAGTAACGGGAAAGCTCGGCTGTTCAAATCTCTCAGAGTTGAACGCACTAATCAACCACTTGGTTTTTTTTTTGATGCTGTTTTTTTTCCTTGTTTAATTTGTTTGATCCTTTTTTCCGATAAGATCCGTCTTCTTTAGAATTAATTGATACCAAAATGATACCAAAATGAACAAGTAGCAACTTTGCCGTAGTTATCGCAGTGGGTAATAAAAATAGCGTCATTTCTTTGTGCTTCCGTTTTTGCAACTGACACGCATTTCACGCATGCCTGAAAAATGCAAAAACATTGCGCTTACCTTGAAGGCTACTGAATGCGTTAAGTTGATGATTGACTTTGGAATAGTGAGAGAAAAGAAATGACTGATTTCAATATGCACGAAATCTTACCACATTTGTGACAGGGAGTGAAAAGGTAGTTAAGAAAGTACGGCTTCCACCACGTAGAACAGATGGTGTTGTTAACAAGAGCATCGTAACATGAGTCGTGTATTTGGCAGCATCTAAAATACAAATTGATAAAGATATAATGGTGAATTATGAGCGATATGCAGGTTCACTGGGAAAATAAGTTCTCCTTTCGGGATGAAAGACAATTTTATGCCATTGTAAACAAACTATAAATGCTATGGGCTTTAAGAATTTTTGTCATCTTGTAAGCATTGGCTGCGTGATAGTTGTAGGACAAAAAACATCGGCTTAAAATATACTTAAAGAACGAGTGAACTGTCGAAGAGAAGTACGGTGTAAGGTATCGCATGTCTATTGTAGTGTGCCCAGGGACCCCACCATTTTCTCTATCGTCTGGCGCGGAAAAAAGCGTGGGTATATGAAAGGCAAATAAAGGGAATGGTGTTTTAGTTTGTTATAAACGTCATGTCAAATATAGCATTTAACGACTGGGTGTTGTAAAACCAAAAACGTTCATATGGTAGTCAATCGTAACAACGAAATTGTCGTAAGGAGCAATTATTAATTGATTTTCAGGTGCAGACTTGTAAACTTGCTTCAGGCGAGGACAATACGAGTGACTAAGTACCGATGGGTTTCAGTTTTCCATCTGCTTTTCAAGTCATTTTCGACCAATATCGTAGCGCGGTAAGCCAAATTTATGCAATTCCAGATTACCGCTGCAGCAAGGAAGTGAAAATTGATCTATTTAACATAACTTTTTAAAGGCTTTAACAAAAGTGAAAGCCTACGAAGCAGTTTAAGGTAACAATACCTGTCAGTGTCATCAACAGGAGTACCTGATCCGCCATATCCACACCAACATCCATAATCGTAATAATCCCATGGACTCCGACTTGTGGCGCACCAGATCATTAATCCAAACTGATACAGGTTCCGCGCTTCAGAGGCCAAATTTTAAATAGGTATAAAATAGTTGGCAATGCATTGACTCAATTTAAATATATTTACGTCTAAAATTATTAACTCTTTCTCGATTTCTTGAATTTTCTCCCCGTTTGGCCTCTGCTATCATTTGTTATTGGTGATTTTAATCTGTTAGAGTTAGGCAGTAGGTCCTTTTTTTCTCTTTTGATTGATAAAAAATGTATCGAAAAACATTTTCTGGTTGGAAAGCTAGCCGATTGGTTGGTATAAGGGATTCGATTAGGATTGATTTTCAATATTAATTTTTGGATGACATTCTTCGAGCCATTGTTCCCACTGAAGGTCAGTGGAAGTCGTGGGGTGCCCATCATAATTTTTTCTAAAATCTGTTCATTATAAAAGACGTGGTCCTTGTACCTGTTCGTATTTTTATTGAATAAGGTTTCTTGAAAAGAAATTAAAAATGCACAAAATTTCATGTAAGAGAATAGACTTCATAACTCCACTTTGACAAATGTTTAAGTTTTAGAGAGAGCCTCTCAAAGGACAGATTCCTAAAGTTATTTTCATCAGTCCTGCAGTTTTCGTGAGAGGGAAGGCTTCCTATGGCGTACTGTTACTTTATAATTTGTCTTGAAAGAGGATACACAGGTTTAATTTCCGTGCTAACACATTTGTATTAATGCAGCTGCGCTTAGAACGTTTACCTACGTTTATGTCATTAATGAACTTACTTTGTTTCCTCTCGAGAGATGGTTTGTCGATTCTCTCCTGGAGGCAAGATAACCACCAAAGTGTAAATACCTACCGCCAACAACTGAACTTTGGTACTCTAATAGACTTTGGTAGTTCGACTTAGGATGTGATAATTTGATTTTGTCAACTGAGTTGATAATAAATTGGCCACCGTAAAGAGTTTCTAACGTTTCGAATGCTAGCTTTCTGTCAGAGCGACTTATTATGTGGACTATTTGAAGATATAGAAATTACATGTACCACCAGGAAACTTTGCTATCCTCCTAACCTGAAACACCCTTGGCATTGGGTACCCTTAGCTTTGGTAGGGGGTCTTGGTAGTACGAAATGAGCTTTTTTCTAGAGTAGGAGCGACTATAATGTGAAATATCTCGAAGCTTAAGAGAGTGAGTTTTAAACGATTTTTACGGCTTAGTACCGTATGAAATTGAGTGATATAAAGGAACCAAGCACTCATTTTTCGAACCTTGACTCACCTACCTTGAATAGAGACGGCAGGGACAGGACACATACAACACTGGAAACGATAAGAAAAATTGCAGGTGCGGCCAGTGACTTCATTTTTTCAAAAAAGTGAATTCAGTAGTTTTAAGTCAAGCAACAAAGATACAAGGAGACAAAACCTGACGAAACCTGAGACTTGGAAACGGCGGAAGACTAATGATTTAACATCGAAACTGGAAAGCAATCATTTTAAACCTCAAGAGTATTTGGGCAACTATCACAACGGTTTGTTTAGATTTTACTAAGTTGGCCAATCATAATTTTTACTGAAATTGCATGGTTGTCGCCGAGTGTGAATGAATTAGCATGTTGTAAGCGTAATGTATCTGTTTGGAAGTCAATTTAGAATTCCTATTGGTTGCAAATAACGGATAACTTAATGGATGAGCCGAATATCAATAAACTTAACAGCTTTTTGACCGCGGTATGTATCAATTGACATCATCAACAGCAAATCGATACGATCAATTTATTTTTTCAAGCTATCGAGCCAGAATTAATGTTTACAGTGCATTGACTCAATCTTCATATCCTTTCGTGCAGAGGTCGTTCTTTGGGTCTTTATTTCAAAAAACACTTTTTTTTTCTTTTTTAAGAATGTCTAATTATTAGAGCGGACGCTGAAAGTTCTTTCTTTTTAATGCGATTGAAGCTTGGAAACGTTCTCAATATGTCCTTCAAGTTGTGCGGTTTAGTATTTCAATTTGACAATTACGTTCAAACCTAAAAGTCCCAGGGTGACTTTTAAGTGGTTTGGGTTAATTCCGGAAATCAATCAAGGTCCAAAAAATATTCACCTTGAATATCCTCGTCCTCTTCCAATTTTCAATAGTACTGTACCAGAAAATTCCTTTGAAAGCAAGTGATTAGTGGTAATCTACACAAGGCTTTCTGTCCCTTTAAAAACAAATCGTTTGTTGTGTAGTTCCCAGGCCCCTGTAAGTATCGCAGCGATCTAGTTTCAATACCTCATTGTTATTGGAGCTCTAAAAGGGATGTCGACCGTTATGAAAGACTCCACGACAAAAGTTGCATTATTTAGCGACAAGAAACCTGAACCAACAAGAGGTATCTCTTCAATTAACAGGTGGCAAGTTACACTAAGTTTTTCAACAATTACCCTCGCTATTTTCAGTTGGGTGTCCAGATTCTTTTGAAAGATAACCTGATCTTCGTACATCAGTGGTCGAGTTACTACAAGAGATGATCTCAGTATAAAAGCGGGCTTTCGTTCTACGAGCTTTATTCTGCTGTTGATAATACAGTGCTGGTATCTGGATCAATAGTAGTGTTCGCAAGATACGTATAAACAATGCAAATTGAATCTTAAAGGCAAGAATAACTTGGTGAGTAGGGACATCACTACACATCTTAATCTGGGATGGGGTATAAGTACGAAGTGTGATACAGATCGGTTAAATGTAAGGGTGCAGGACATACAAAGAAACACCGTCAAGGTATTAAGAAACTCAGATTAAAATGGATGTTAGGGTTCAGTCGATGATTGTTAATAGAAAACAATGGTAACTGTATCTCTGAAGAACATGGAGTTGGGACTGTGGGAATCGAGAGCCTGGAAGTCCTAGCCACCATCCAGATACATGTATGGACTCTAAGGGTCACAAACCTCCAGCGCCAGCCACACATTCACAGACACCCAATCATAAAGAAGGCAACCTTACTTCCTTACTCCGCTGTGAGGTTGTGTTGTAGTGGTGTTGAAGTTTTTACCCTTCTTCTTGGCCAGATCAAGTGGAGGGATAGGTGCTGCTGAAAAAGGGAAAGGTGAGGACTCAAGGTCTTAGTGAAAGTCACTTCTTCTTCAGTAACAAGAGAGAGCAAACGATTCTTACAAGTTGAACTTTCGTTGTACTCTAAACAAACTCTGGGATAATTTGTTTCCTTGGGTAAAATTTCCACACAGCACTATGCTATTGTAAAACAGATCTGCTTTCCCAATGGCACTGTATTGTTTTTGTCATTGTTTTCTCAATCCAAGAACTGAATGCAAAATGTAGTATGGGGCTGTGCATAAATTTTACTATTCCTTGTACTGTTTGGTTATGGCAGGTGTTTTTCTCTCCACTTGGAGCTCTTGGGGTCACATGCATGGAACACACATTGGCTCTTAGATTTGGGTTGTAGCTACGGAAATGCTCACTGATAGTTTCTTCACATAATAATAAGAGGAATTTAATAAGAAGAAGCAGGCAGCTGTTTAGTCAATACATATCTTGACAAACACTACATGTGAGTACTATTTACAACCTTACATAATTTATTCTTCACCCTTCTACCAAGAGACATGAAAAGGACTTGGTGGAACCTTTAGCTGCCCAATTTCAATCTCTACATGTCTATAAGGTCACATAATTACATTTTGATTTTTCAAATCAATAGCTCTCATTAAGATCAAATTAGTGTAGCACTGAATGATAAAGCACACATTAATAGTGTATATACATGTTTATGACCTGCATCTGAGTGTATAAAATGTGTCTCTGCATCATAACACAGACAAAACAATGACAAAGGGTCCTCTTAGCTCTGTAGTACCTTCCATTAGACACTGTCTACATGCAATATTTAGCAAACAAACCATTAAGTTACAATTTATACAATTCATACCCTAGAATACACTGAATCCTAGTTACTACCATGTAAAATTCAGGAGGATATTCAAATTTATGTATTTAATTATATATTCATAATAATATATTATGATGCCTAACAAAAGACATAGAAAGAGAGTAACAAAACATTCAGCTTACTAATTCAAGTCTCTGAGTGTCCTCATAGTCTTGGTCTCATTATTAAATTTTGAATTGACAACTCCACTGCTTCCTTTGACTTTATAATAGTGTAAACCAGCCAGTTGCTAGCAATACATGATGAACTAGACTTTGACTGGCCTACATGACACAGATATTGGCTCTATAAGTGGACAATAGAGTTAAAATAAAATGTGGCATTTTGTCCTTAAAAGAACCTCCTTTAAATAATGATAACCAGAATTTTCTGGTGCCATGAAGGAGACTGAAACTCACAGCTAACTAGTCCAAACTGACTTGCAATGTATAATTGTATATGCTTCAACTACTTCCCTGGATTGTTAGTTCAAGCCTGTCTTGCTCTGTAATCCTTAAGGGAAGGATGATGTGACTTTGTTTTCCATTAAATGGTTCTACTGGAAAAGGAAAAATTTGCTGATACAATTAGAAAATAATCAGCTTCAGTGAATCTAAAGTCATATCACTGCACCTCAATACACAGCTTAATATGTTACAGTTGAGCAAAGATACATGTATTTCAAAATTCCTCAATTAACCTTTTAACTCCCAGATCAAATTTGTAATTCTTCTTAATGAAAACAATACAACACTTATGTTGGTGTAGAGAATTTATTATTGGATCAACTACTTATCCCCAAATTGATATTTTTCTTTATTCTCATCACTTATCTGGTTGATATTGTACTGAAATTGTATCAGAGAAATTCTGTCTTAGTCACTCACGGGAGTTAAAGGGTTAAATCAAATAACCAACCTGTCTACTCAACAGTGTTCGATAGTTCTTGATTTGTACAAGCATTAACTGACAAATGTTCATGATTCATGTTTGAAGGATCTGAATCCTGTGGTTTAGACTGATGCTGCTTCTGTCTTGACTCATCCTTGGGATTCTGCCCACCAGTCATGCCTGTGAGGCTGCCACAGAGTTGTGGTGAAAAGGGAAAACCAGGGAAATAAGGGAAATGAGGATACCCCATTCTCATTTGGTTGAATGCACCAAGATATCCATTTGGTACTGGGTTCAAACGTCCATTTGTATCAGGAAATGGAGGCAAAGGAATGCTCACATGAAGAACTACAGGGATGAAGTGGGTGCCAGATGGATGTAGAGCATAGGTAGGTAGAGTGTAGGGGTTAGGTATGTAAGGGGTCCTAGGTGAAATGGGAGTGGCTTGAATCAGGCCATCAAGACCATGACTTGGCCATTTCCAGTTCAAACCTACACCACAAGGTACATAACCACCAGCATCACAGTTTGCCTTGTCATAATTGTTCCCACTTTCACTTTTGAAATTGTTTGGGATTGATTCTTTTTCTTTTGATGAAACACTGCTGTTGCCTCTGTAGTTAGCTGAATTGCTTCCATTTTCATCCCAAGTACAGTTTGCATCCATGGTAACTTTCCTTTTCTCTTTGTTTGAGCTGCTACTCACTGTGCCTAATGAAAATCTGCTTCCACGACCATCACTACATGAATTCTTATCGGAATCTCGATGTGTCCGTTTAGAAGCAGGCTCTCCACTGGAGGATTTGTCTTGGCTGCTAGGATTTTCACTGTTCTCATGGGTTCTTTTGCACTGCCACAAATCAAGAACTGCCTTTGAATACTTGTCTTTATGGTTATCATCAGAGCCAACCAAGTCTACTTGCTTACACAAAACCTGCAGTTCAATCTGCAAGTGGCGCATAAGTCTTTGAAAACAAGGCTGCTCAATGTCCATAGCTTCCACATTGGTAAGACAATGAAACACCTCCTTGACACAATCGCTGAAACCATTGAAGTACTTGGAATTTATGTCTACCTGTGCGGTAGATTGTTGGCTCTCTTGTGGTTCAGTGGCATTTTGGTTTTCTAAAAGAAATATTTATATACCAATTGATAGGTTTAGAGCTGTTAATATCATTGGTATAATACTTGAACAAAGTTGACAAGTATTTCTTTTCATCAAAAAAAACAAATATAATGCTATATTTAGAGAAAAACCATTTACATTTGCCATTATTTCTCCTATCCAACAAGATATCATTTATATAAAAAACATTTAGATGGACCCAAGAGTGTCTAAGTATAAATGCATCATGGAGCTAATCAGGAGAATCATCGTCAGAATTCAAAGTTTTTGTCTTGTACTGACCATTTATGGCTGCAAAAGTTAACAGACTCACCTTTTGCCTCTAAACTCTCAGTCTCACAGTCTGCCTTTACATCTTCAGTAAGGCCTTGAAGTGTTTTTATGTAACTTATGGTCTTTTCCAGAATTTCAGCTTTCTCCAGCTTGAAAGTAATGTGCATAAGGAATAAAAATCACACAAGAATCAAAGCTGTGTGTTGTTTACACATCATCTGATCGATGTATTTCAATAACTTTAAAATGCATTCATGAAAAATTACTTTGGCATGGCCTTTATGATGGTGCTAGTGTCATACTTTACTGGTATCATGCTTAAAAATCAACAGAATGGCCTGACCATCTAATATTGGAGTATTGAAAGACCATAGTCCAATGTAGTTCCAACCCTATTACAGGGTTAAAAATTTCGGACTAAATCCACTTAGGAAATGTACAATATCAAAATGGTGATTAAAGCGCAGCAGTGACTGTCCTGATGTATCAATTTGAGTGTAACCCGTTGACCTGTCCCTTAGGATCAGCACCAGAGTGCGATAAACAGCTTACTGTAGTAGTATGATCAGAAGTCGTTCGCAAGGTACCTGGTACACAGATCGCCACTGATGGCTACTTCACAAATAGTGATATTTAAAACTAAAGCTAAGACGACTGAATTAAAAATATTTTGATACATGGATAGCTGATTAGCACCATAAACTTAGCGGTACATGCATATTAGTATAAATAAACAAGAATGAATAAATTCAGTTTAAAATGGCAACTAAAAAAGTTAAAATACCTGTTTTGAGACGGACGAGGATGGCAACAACTGCGCAATTTCTGAAATACTGATATTCATTCGGTCCCTTCGTCTTTTTTCAGCAAGTCTATGAGAATATTCCATCTGAGGGACAACAAAAACAGAACATTTTGCTCTCAATTTTCTTTTTCAATGGGGAATGTTTTAATTCGAAAGTACGAATTGTTTCAAAGGATAGAAGGACTAGTTCCAGAAGGATCACCAACATTTAAATAAAATAAATCATAAGCTCAGTATCCGAGGATATTACATTGAACATGTTTTGACAAGATGTTGATGATGAAATATTTCGATACGTCTACAAAAATAACACAACCGTTATATTAAAGAAAAAATTTACCTGTCTTATGTAGAACACACAAAAGCTTCATTCAGTTTGGTGCCAATAATTTAATGAAGTGTCCACCGTTTGCGGTACATGTATAGGAAACTACTCTAGCGCCGTGGTTACGCGTAAAGTGTGCGACAAACCGAACATGTAGTGGGTCGTAAGCACAATATAAAGGCATAATTCTGATACAATCTCGAGAATTTGACACAAACACCTTTACTAATTCTTATAATATAGAAAATCCACTCGAAAGAAAAAAATAAATACCTACTTTTTGTCCCTTTAATTTGGTTGTGCATGGAGACACGGATGAAGTTCGACATATTCTTTCGCCCTCGATCTCTGTAGTCGTTGATTCCGCCATAATGTTCACATGCCGCTCACAATAAAAGTGTTCTATCAGGAACTCTTACCGTTAAATTCTTTTAGCTACCTATTGCAAGATGGAAAAATTACCAGAGAGAACACAAGGCAAAGGCGCCTACCTCCAACTATGGATTTCACTGACGAATATTTCCGCGTGAAGAAGTTTGAGAGCGGCACGTGCCAACCAGTATTATATAACACAAAGCATGCACGTGCAGGTGTGACATAACCGAAAAAATTTCTCTGAGAGCCTAGTTCCAAACATTTACACAAAAATAGCTCGCTTGCAGTTCCACGACATGTCTTAGGCATCTTAAAACTTTACTAGTAGAAAAATAATACTTGCTCTGATGTAAAGTGAAAATTTGGAGGGCGATAGTCAACATCCGTTTCCGGTTAGCGTGACTGAGGAGGGTGACTGAGAACGCTCCGTTGCATAACGACCAGAATAATACTAAGCTTTACCGCTGTCTTTTCTACGGCTTGTTCTCTCTGAAGGACGAACATCTTCAAGAGTTAAGACACTGAAAAAATCTCCAATAGAGAAAGAAAGAAGAGCAGCCACTATTTCATTTATATTTGGAAGATTTTCTTGCATATTTCTCTTTTTCCGAAGCACGCTCCGAATGCGACCTTTGATGGTTGACCCGATTTATTTTATCCCGTTGCATCACAAGCAGCCCAAGTTCACGTCTCGAGAAAAAGCAAATGATTAATTCATGAAAGCGTCACGCGTTGTGTGACTCGGTATTCTGCCGTGTTAAGCTTGTTTTATCATCGCCGTTATTCCTTCGTCCTATGACAGGAATAACAGTGTGCGTAAGTTCTATTGATTTTACGTGTATAATGTTCATATTTCGAAATATTTATCGTTGTAAAGCGACCATATTTCGTTCCCCATACTATTCCTTACAGCGTGTTTGATTTTGTAACTTTACAAAGAGTCACACAACGCGTGACGCTTTCATGAATTAATCGTTTGCTATTTCTCGAGAAGTGAGCTTATGTCGCTGGGGAAGACGGACGTGATACTACTTGTCATGGTCTTCTACAGGAATGTGCCGTCCGACTGGGGATACTTTTTTTCTGGATTTGACTCTAGACTAGTATATGAAAGGGAAAAGGTTAGGGATCATGTTTACTTTAGGTAATCGCGACCGATATAGCGGTCGATATATCGGTCGAGGGTCAGTCGATACTCGACCGATATATCGGTCGACAGTCGGTTGACAGATTAGCTTAATTAAAAGAGTTGAGTTGTTTTAAAAGAGCAGAACAACCGGATTATGACTTTCATTCAGAACTGCAAGCAGAACATCCCTGTGTACCGTGAATTTTGCCGAGTATCCACCGACCACAGCGGTTTTTAATCGCAGACATTTTCCACAAATCGAAGCAGCTACTGGTTGAGCTCCATAAAAGATAAATGGGGACGTCATTTCAGACGAAAAGGGGGGGGGGTTAACAATGGCGGTTCCAGACCTTGAGCTGAATAGGGAGGGGCGGGTCCGGTTTTTTGTCACTTGCCCTGCCGGCTTTTCTTCCTTCTGCGACTCTATTGCCAAAAGGTCTGGATAGAAGCAGATGTGGAACGAATTAATAAAATGAACGATGCTTTTTAAAAACATGTTTCGACAGTTCTTCTGTCATCTTCAGTTCTGAATAATACAAAGTACAAAGTTGTATTTTAAGTGTGTAACAAAATACTGATTGGGCAAAACAAACAATCGCAACAGAACAATGCATGCATTTACAAGGAAAGTTTTGAATTAATATAATAAAGTTGATGATTAAGTGTAGGTTACTCCCACTGAATGTGATTTCAAGTTGAAAAGTTGTGGAAGCTTGATCTAAGATGTTAAAACACTCGTCAGAACAAAGAGTGCGACATTGTGGAGAATTATCTAGATGTCTGAAAATGTGAGAGGTCCTATCACTGACCAAGTGCGTACATGAGCACCTGAGTTAACGCACTGACTTCTTACAATTTGACATTTATGGGTGCATAACGTTCAGAGCACGTGGCAGATAAAGTTCAAGGTGCTTTTTGGCACGCATTGTTTATGTTGCGGAATGTCGGACCATTCGTGCTCCGATCGTTTCCTGATGGTGTCAATAAATTTCAAGGCTTTTTAAAGATAAAAATCTCGAAGAAAACACCAAATACAGTCTAAAGCAAGAAAAAAATCAAATCAAATCAAATCAAAGCTAACTCTCAGCCGCGTCAAAGCAAAAAAAACATAACAGCTCCCAAGGGAGGATAACTTCATTCTTGATGATCCTAACGGAACTGTGCCTAAGATGGATCAATATTAGTTGCCTTTAAAATAACTACAGAAACGGAAAAGGAAAAAAAAAACGGTCTGGACCAAAAGTCCTGTTGACCACTAGCCATTTTTTGACTAATCTTTTGGACCCTTTTTCAGACCATTCTCTAAATCTAATTTTATCGATTATAAGTGCTTGGAAGGGGTGGTTAAGAACATTTTTCAAATAAAGTTGGAGTAGGTGGAAACGAATACTTTTGTATCAGTGCAATAAATGCTCCTGTTTGATGGAAATTGTACTGGTGCCTACACAATCTTAAGAGCTTTTTTTTTTCGACCCTTTTTTGTTTTGAAAGGACGTTTGCATCTATATTTAGCATGCAAATTGCAAAACAGGCCTCGTAACGTTGATAAGATTGCTAGTGGAAGATATCGAACATTATCAGATAAGATAAGACTCTTTTAATAGCGGTTTTCTTTTTTAATTCATTGAATAATCACTTAATGTCTCGGGCATTGCATTTTTAACATTTTTCTTGTGGATGATCTTTGTAAGCATCATTGAACGTAGCACTCTTGAAACACTGGACAGCCTCACTGTCACACTCGCACAAAGCGTTCCGACACTTGCCGTAAAACCAGTAGTAACTAGCAGGCTCTGATGAGAGAGAGCAGCATAGTTCAACGATCAGTAATGTCTTATCCCTTCACCTCGACAACCAAATTTTCGCATCAAACCACGAGTCGTGTACGAGTAAATCTGATTTATGTTGTTATTACACAACAATATGAACAAATAATGATTTTCAAGGGGGCAGTGACGGTGTCCGTAATATTTCTGTGAACTGGTGATTCGCCACTTACAGTTCAAGTTTTGAATTATCTTCGCTTGTTTTTCCCAAAAATAGTGACGTTAGCATGACGCGAAACCAATTTGATTGATTAGGTTTTGTACATCTAGCTGTGAATCTATCAATTACAACCCATTTATTTTGCTTTACTAGTTTTGCTAAGCACAGGTTGCTAAAGAAAAATCTTAGCAAACCGTGCTTTCGAGAGACCGGTTTTGAGCTGCAGTAAGGTAATAACTAAGTTGACGCAGAATGAAGACGATTCATTACCAGTCATTGATGAAAGGAGTTTGTTCCCTTTTCGTGTTCTTAGCCTAGTCGGTTCTTCGAGGTACGACCGGGGCTAAAACCCTAGCCCAGCCTATCAGCTGCGTTTAAGGTAATAGGAACTGAAGTGTTTCGTAGGGTTAAATGTCCTAATAGTCCAGCAACACGTTATCTTCTGTCCAGGTACACCCCTGAACTGGACAAACTAATCTTGAGGCTTCCCTCTGTTTGGTTTAAAGAGGAAGTCGTCTTAAAATCTAAATTACTTCTGCACATGGTGCTATCTTCAACCATACCAACTTGTATTGAACTTTTTGCTGTACAGTTAAAAACGTAACATCTTACCGCATCCAAGACAACCTCTCCTACTGTAGGGCATGACATAAATTGCCACATCGAACGGGCAACTGCCCGAGTTCTGCACTGCATTGTAGCAGGCATCGTGTATTTGGCAACACCTGGCGACAAAGCAAGACTGTTAACCATAGGATATTAGGAACCGAATATTCAAAGCAAGGACAAGCTGTCCCATTTCATAGGCAAACGTCAGCCATGTAGCCGAGATATAGAATTATTCAAGAAATATGGCAAGTTTTACTTCAGTTACTGAGTTAAGCGTACATCTTGGAAAATTTCTTGCCTGTTTAACGGAGTTCACGGTCGCAAACCTGGTGCAGGCTGCCTTCTCATTAAACAGAATCGGAAATAATACTTACAAAGGAAAGTTTGCTTCCCTGGTGTTATCAAAGCTTCAAACATTTGCCAAAATAGTTTTTGATACCCAGGCCCGCTTTGAAATAATTTGATTACTTTGACTTTGTCTTTAGTTTGATCATGATGGTCTCTTCTTTCTGATCCTGTCTTAGAGTTTTAGCCCGCAAATGCAGCATCGTATGATCGACCAGGCAGCGACAAGAGGCATAATTTGCAAATTACGTTGTGTGTTAAGGCAATCGATTTTTTCATTTTACCACTTACCTGTCTACATCATCAACTGGTGTTCCCTCTCCGCCGAGTCCGCAGTAGCATCCGTAACCATTGTAGTCGAGGGGGTTTCTATTGACTCCGCACAATATCATCAGACCGAATCCCAAAATACTTCTAGAGTTGGGGGATGTTATGGGGGAATCAGCACTTTCTACTCAAAAAAGAAAGAGATTGCCCTTTAACAAGTAATCATGATCTAGCAGGAAATAGAGAAAGACCTTACCTTCTCGGGTCGGAAATCGAAGCTACCATTTCTTTTAAGTACTGTCTACATAAATCTTGCTACATGAAATCAAGGCATATCTTTCCTCATCCTCTGCTGTCGTTAAAACGAGAAGTTGAACCTTACTAAGGACGCATTTAAGATTTGTGGAAAGCCATGTGATTCAAAGGTTTAGTGCAATTGCTCATCTAAATGCTTTTAGCTGATGGCACAGTTAGTGACTAGGACATATTTTATTGCTCTAGATTTAACAGGGGGAAGAAAGAAGAAATATGTTGTTGCGACTGTATCTTGGAAAAGTTGGTCGGCAATGTCTACACATGACAAATTACAACGATATTATATTTATGATAGGTATAAAACCTTTAAGTGCCAAGATCTCTTCTTTGTCCTGTTGAAAATAAAGAAGTCAGTACATCAGTAGGGGAATAATTACCGTTAGTTACTCTTCAAGCTCAGTGAAATGCTGTTTAAATGGTTATCTTACCCTTTACTCCGTCTAAAGCAGGAGAGTCTTTTCACTCTCATGTGCAAATAGTGTTGGGGTAGGAGCCGAAGTAGTTTCATTCTGAATAACAGCTCCATTAGTAAAGCCGGAGACACGAACTCTGGCTGATTACGCACCCATCTAGTCTTGAAATACACGTTACAAACCGTGCACAAGGACCGTTTGATACAGCTTCAAATTACAAATACTATTGAACTAGTCTCAAGACCCTGATTAAAAAACAAACGTAGCTTTTTGATAGGCATTGCTCCTAACACCATTTAGTTTTCCAGTCTCAGTTTCTTAGCGCTCAGTGTTCAGTTTCACCTAAACGCCTCTTATTCCTTGAGGAATCAAATATCGATATCGATGTAGGAAGAATACTAATCAAAACCTTTCACTTCCTATAGTAAGTAAGTAAGTAAAGACTTTATTTTATGAGGGTTAGCACGAAATAACCGGAGCTAATAAACGTGTGGCCCTCCTATAATTATGGTGCTTTAATACTTATGTAAAGGTTCCCTACGAAGTAAGAACGCTTTTTCAAGAAAATACTTCATTCAATGTTTTTTTTCATACTTAGACATAAGTTCTTTGACTTGCAAAAAATCTTTTTTTACCATTAAAGTGTGTCGTACCTGAACGAGAGGACTTGCAGCCATTGTCATTTGAAAAATGGCGAAACAGTGAAGAAAGGAAACTAATCGCTTCATTTTCTAACTCTTTTTCTGTGGAATCGCGAGAACGCTTGTTTGATTTTTAAAAATCTAGGACACTTTTTTCACTAAATTCGCGTTACTTTTATATGTTATTCTTTTTACGAATGCGTGATCTGGGATGGAAATTCAAATTTTCAGGTGGTTGATTTCTATGGAAAAACAAATAAGAAACACCGCGCCTTTACTTGAGGAGGCCGTATTTTAGAGGGGACTTTCCACCAAAATTAAATACTTTAGAAGTTTAAGTGGCCTGAAAATTGTTTGCTACCTTTTAGATTAAATTTTTCGTCTTCTCAACGAGAACGCGCACACAGCTCTCTTCGTTTCCTCACATAGTCCCATATGAAAACAACATAAAGTTCCTTCTTAACCTTACTACAAAAGTGAATCAAACATCTTAACGTGGTAATAACAGTTTCAAACCCATAACACATTTTTTAAATGAAATTACGAAGCAGATTAAAGATGTTTTAGCGTAAGACACATAAAAGAAAGCACAGAGGGTGAAAAACAGTAGATTTGGTTCAGTTAACTTTGAAAAACGTTACATGTTCTGTTTGTAATGTTATGATTTATTCACTTTTTTAATGGCAATAATAATGGTGCTCTTTTACAGCAAACATAATCATATTTTTGTTGATAAGGAACTCAAGTGTCTTTTACTTTCAGCCACGTATTTCCACTGATGACTTCTCATTGGCACTTTGTAATGAGTATTTGATGAGTAAAATATACTGAAACACAAATGTTTCCTTTAAGTTCTTACAATTTTGCCATCCATTATTTGGGACCCTCGAGGTGTTCGCACGGAATTATCACGAATATTCATGACTGCTAGTCGTATACTTAAATGAAATCTACTTCTCGTTGGTGGTTCACATTATTCAGATCCTTATTGATTAAAGGCTGGCCGGTCAGCTACGATTTTCAACTGTTTCTTCTATCAAGCTACTGAATATAACCCTCTCAATAAAATTTTCCAATCCTATCAGTTGAAAATGCGCCCTTTGGGGTAAAGAGACCGGTCCTAGCCTCGCCACAAATGAAGCCGAAGCATCATTTTTAAAAATTTGTTTTTTTATCATTACAAATATCTCTATTGAGATTTGCTTCATGGTTTACCGCTTCATTAAGGTAAAGCAGATCGATAAACTTTCCTTGAAACATTTCAAGGCTATTTTCGATGGAAAAAGAGGCTGAAAGAGTGAGTCCTCACCTTTTTTCTCCTTATAATACTATACTAGAGTTATGCAAACGACAAGAAATCCGATTATCACGAACGTCACGGGTTATCGACAATTTTTGCACGAAATTTGAATTCTCCAGCTGTCATTTCGCTCGCGTTATGGACGATGAAGGGTATAAGTTATCTGCTCTCTTAAGGTCACTTAGATTTGTACTCTTCAAACTCTTGTAGAGTTTATCAATCTACGCAGTGATAGTTTCATTATTTGTTATTTCAATATCACGTCAATGAATCAGCTGGAGCAGATGATCGTTTCACACCCCAGATATTTTGCTAACCCTTAAGGCTGTGACAGTGTTAGGTGATTAAAACACGCAATACACATTACTAAATCAAATAAGATATTGTAGAGATAAACAGAGATGCTCAACTCAGCCATATTTTACTAAAAGAAACTCTGGTTCAAAAATATCAAAAAGGAGAAGGTGGGAACAGCCAACACAATGCAGGGTATAATCTTGCTAACGATGGTAGTTTTATCTTCTACGTTCTCTCTCCCATCTCGCAAGGTAGGTAGTTAAAAGGGATGTGGTTTTTACGGTCCACTGTTGTAACGACTTACGGATTTCAATTTTTTCGCCTAATGACTGAATTTTTGGGCCGTTTTACGGCTAACGCTTGACCTCATTCAGACCCTAAGTTATTGCAAAGATAATTTCGTATATTTTCGAAAATTATCTCCGATTATAACCCCGCTACAAAGCGAGCTCGCAAGAATAGAGCAACATAAGAAGAAACGAAACACCCAAAAGAAATAAGAGTAAAAGGATGCATCGATATGACTGATTTAAAGAACTGTACGTTGCAAAGTTAACACTGAATATTTCACTTGACGCGAACTTTAACAAAGTTTCTTTAAAGAAAGTGAAGGTTTGTGCATTCTGTAAAATAAAGAGAGCTCTTTTCTATAGATATAGTTCCTTTTATAGGGAAAACTCAGCCCATCGTCGGAGTTAATTTATCTAGATATGCGTGGATTTGTAGAGACCACGTCTTTAGGTCGTGTCTTATTTTTCGGGTTATTACAGGATGAACCACAACAAGACTTCGAGCAGAAAATAATTAGTTCAGGTGAGGTAAAAGTAATGTATGGCTTGTGCAAGTTATGATAAAAGCTTCTTCTTCACTCCCTACAATCTCCCTTTTAGCAAAGGCTAAGTTCTTGTGCGAGATTCCATACTCTCTTATTGGCGAATTTTGTCCCTTATAATTTCAAACTGAAATTAAACCAGAAGGCTTTGGGTTGATGAATCGCGGGCTGAGATTTTTAAAACCCAACTAACACATGTAATTACACTCCGATCCGAATGATTGACGTGTATTTATGAAAAAGTCTTACTTTTAGTTTCTCTTTAGTGAGACATTTAGCTGTTTAATTTAGGGACTTGAATAACCGAGGAAGGCCTCTTAAATTGATCAAGCTGTGGCATGGTTTTTGGGAAACAAAAAGAACGTTTGTGGCCATTCGGATAAGTAGGAAGGGGGAAGGGATGTTTTTTTTTTCTGTATATGTTAAGAGGTTGCCATATTCTCATATCTAATGTAGCTCTATGAGGTCGAGTGCGTGTTCCCATGGCTACCTGATTTCCCCGCTTCCCTAAAAAATTAAGTTATAACAACTTAGCTCTGATTCTTCCTCGCACATTGAATTTTGTCATTTACAGAAGACTTTACCCGTACGCAGAGGAACCTTGTGCAGTTTCACAACATGATTAAGTGTACCACGTCACGAAGTTCTTTGTATTACGTCGACTATGGCTGTTATTGCGGTTATGGAGGAACAGGAAATCCATTAGATGCTACTGATAGGTAGGCGCAGTCATATCAAACACCAGTTCATCTGTAAAGAGTCACTTGTTTATGTACTGCAGAAGACACCTTCTTACCCACATGAGACTTCATCCCGAGCCACAGCTCTGAGATAAATTTTTGCCACTGCAGCATCCCCGCTTTCTTGTTCTAAAGCGAAATAGATGGGCATTCCTTTATTTCCCTTCTAGGAAGGAAACGGATTTGATTATGGCAAAGTGCTTGTGATAAGGTAGAGTTCCCCTTAAGTAGGAAATCTTGGAAAATTTCTTTAGAAAGCCATCAGCACCATTTCTGGTTTCAAGAACCACAACAATCAGATAGAGGTAGTAAATGACGGTAGTTATAAAATGCTTCAATTTCAGATGCTGTCAAGTTCATGATGAATGTTACGGTCGTATAATGAAAGATCCAGACTTGTGCACGTTCTCTTCGTCTGTTTATTGGAAAATATACAGTAGAGATGACACCTGTACTGGTTGTGGTAAGTCTAGATAAGTTCAGCACTTTTTTATTTACTTATGAGTCTTTTTAACTCTTGGGAACTTTCGTTTATTTCATTGCGGTACCCGATAGCAGTTCACTTGATAGATGTCACTGGGCAAAAAATGTGCGAATTTTGTTTAAAAGATGGGAATTGAAGCAATACCAATATTTTGTACCTTTGTAATTTTGCGCAATCAAATTGAAAGAATCAGTGTAATAAAATGCACACTGGTTTTCTATTTTCCTATCTAATTTGAAATTATAGGAATGCTATATCGCTGATACGCATTTGTAAACTATACAAAGATGTCCCGATAATCAGTCTTCTTCTCAACGTACTCTTTACTTGAAAAAAAAAGCAGAATGTTTGTAATTTTATTATCTTTTATTTGTTCGAAGATTTAAATAGACACAACAATTAAAATTAATAT